TTGGTTGAAATCACGAGAGCTTCGAACGAATCCAATCCAAACCCTAGGAATGGAAGAGAGAAGGAAAAAAGAGTGGAGAAGGTGAGAAAATTTAGTTGAGGGTATAATAGTCTAATAAAATATTTAAATAATAAATTTTGTCCTTTATGCAAAATTTTATAATTATGAGGGGGTTTAGAAAATATAATTTTTTTCTTAGTCCTTTTAACAATAAAAGGAAGGTAAAGGGGGTTTATAGCTAAATTTCCCAAAGACGAACCAAGGTCAGCTTGGCAACAGGTGCAAAAGGGCTCCAAAATCCTTGCCAGGAACCTAGGTGAAGCCCTTGGCCACCAAGCAAGCTTTGTAACCGTCAACGGAGCCATCAACTAGACACGTAATAATGAATACCCATTTGCAACCCACAGTACTCTTGCCAGAAGGTAAAGGAACTAGATCCCAAGTATGATTATGTTCTAAAGCTATCATCCCAACCTGCATAGCCTCCACCCATTTTGGATTTTGAAGGGCCTCTGACACAGAACGAGGAATGGCCTCGGATTCAAGTTTACCAAGAAAAGAGCGATAGGTAGGGGAGACCTTGTCATGTGAAAGATACCGAGAAATGGGATGATTAATACTACTCAAATAACCCTAATGGTTTGGAGGATGTCAAACCCAAGAGGGATTACGACGAGGAGGTGGAGGGAATGTATGTAAAGGAGAAGAAGTACTTGACCCAAAGACCGGAGAGACAGCAAGGGGGAGCTGAGAGCGAGGGTGACGAGAGTATACCTGCAATGGGAGGGTGAAGGAAACGAATGTGGAGAATGAAGATAGGACAACCTCATCCGTAACCTTGTCCAAAATAGAAATAGGGCGAACACTAGAAGAAACAGGAGTAGAAGCCTGTAAAGGAGGGTTAGTACTAAAAAAAAGGAGATCCTCACAAAAAGTAACATCCAAAGTGTGGTGAAAATGACGAGACACAAGATCAAAACACCTATACCCTTTTGACATAGAAGAATACCCCAAAAAGACACAACGAATAGACGTGTCATCTAACTTGGTACAAGTGGGACTTCAATCCTGAACAAAACAAGTACACCCAAAGACACATAGTAGGAGAGGAAATAAAGTAGTATGGGGCATAAGAACATGAAATGGAGTAAGACCTTGCAACACACGACTAGGGATCTTATTATTAAGATAGACAACAGTGAGGACAACCAAATGCCAATAGGACTTAGGGACACTCATACCACGAAGGAGATACCACACAACAGACATAATATGCCTATTTTTATGTTCAGCTACACCATTTTGCTTAGGAGTCCATGGACACGTAAATTGTTGAAGAAAACCAGTTTGATTAAGATGGGAGTGAAAAGCATTGGAAATATATTCTTCACTATTATCAGAACGAATATTCCTAACAACTATACAAAACTGATTTTTAACCATTTGCAAAAACTGAACAAAAATGGGAAACATGTCAGACTTACGATGGAGCAAATATACCCAAGTGCATCTAGTGTGGTCATCAATAAAGGTGACTTAATATCGATGGCCAGAAAAAGCAAGAACATGAGACGGACTCCAAACATTAGAATGTATAAGGTCAAAAGCACGAGGGGCATGAGTCATATGAGGTATGTAACTGGTACGAGTATGTTTATGAAACTTAGAATCTTCGCAAGCTTTAAAGGAAAAAGTTGATACAAGAATTAAAAATTGACATGACCTATACGTGCATGCCACAATTCTAAAGTTTGAACATTAAAAACACAAGATATAGAAGCAGGCAAAACAGATGCCTCAAAACCTATGTTACACGGACTTGGGTGTGGGTATCGAGTGCGGGTGCGTATTTGGAGGTCGGACACTTCAAAATTAAAAATTGAAGATACGTGGATATGGATCCAAATGTGGATACGGGTACAGCGATACGTTAAATAGTTATTTTTAAAATATATTTATTATATAAAAATGAGTTAAATAATTATTTTTTAAATATATTTATTATATGAAGATGAGTTAAAAAAAGTTGACCCAACAATTTTTTTTATAAATAGAATCAAACATATGGATGAGTCATAGAACAACCCATGCTATTGTTGAATAGAGTTTATAAATAGGCCCACATATTTTATTTATTTATTTGGATCCATCCCATTAGGGTTTATTATGATACAAACCAACCAATAGGTCCAAATTTTTTCTTTATTTTTTTGGGTCCATCCCATTGTAGTTTATAATATTAATTATTATGATACAAACCAGTGCCCAAACTTTCTATTTATTTGTTTGGGTCTGGCCTATTAGGATTTATACTAGCAAGCTTTTTATTGGTCCAGTCCATTAGGGTTTGATAAAAACAAAAGCAGCAGCAACAGCTTTGACACAAACAAGTAGCAGCAGTAGCAGCACGATGAGTCCGTCCTCCTTTTCACTTCCCTCTCACACGCATAGCGACACGATGGGTCTGTTTCTTCTCTTCTCTTCTCTCACACATGCACAACATGATCGAGAGAGATATCAAGGGAGAGAAGGAGCTCATGATAGAGAGAGAAAAGGAGATCGAGACAGAGAAGATCGAAAGACACGATCAAGATCTTGAACCTATACATCAATGTAAGTATCTCAACATTCTTCTTCTTTTTTGATTAGCCGTGTCCAAGAGAGAAGAGGTGAATCCGACACAGATCCCACACCCGCACCCGTGTCATGTCGTGTCGACATGGTACTTTGCCCCAAAGTGCCGAGTTCATGTAACATAGCTGAAAACTAGCTAAAGTAGAAGGAGGTTGGTCTGGTGGATCCCCAAAGTAATAAAGTCCATCGCGCTTATATCCCCTGTCAAAAATTCTCTTCGAACTCAGGTCTCGTAACAGACATGAAGAAGGTAAGAAAATAACAGCACAATTGAAAGACTTGGCAAGCCGACTAATGGATAGTAGATTATATGCAAAATTAGGAATATACAAAACAGAGGATAGAGTAATATCAGGAGATAAAGACACTTGACCCTTATGATGAACTGAGGAGAAAGACCCATCAGTAAGAGAAACAGATTGGTCTATAGTAGTAAGAACTGGAGATGAAAGAAGGGAAAACTCACCCGTCGTATGATCATTAGCCCCAGAATCCAAAACCCATGAGGGGCCAGCAGACCAAACATAAAGCAGTAGAAGTGCCTATAGCGAGAGTAGTAGTAGTAGAGGAGGATGTGCCAGAAGAACTAGTAGTCAAAGTCCCAAGTTGAGTTTGAAGTTGACCAATCTGAGTCTGTGACTGCTGTAAATAGGAATACTCAGAGACCTAGAAGCATGAAAGGCCTCCACTAAAGCAGCAGTGCGAGGTGTGCCAAAACCACGAGGGCGAGAAGATTGTTGCCTCAACTTAGGATGAAGTTTAAAGTAGCGCGCCTTGACATGACCAAGAGCCCCACAATGATGACAGGTAACTGAACCAATAGAACCCTGGGAACCAGAGTTTACGGCAAGGGCCATTTGGTCAGATAAGATAGGAGTCACTGGAGTAGTGGTGTGCAGAACCAAACGCTGACCACGCTCATCACTATCAATGGCAGCAAAGGCCTCATAGAGGGATGGCATGGGGGATGTGTTTAAAATCTCAGTTCGAAGAGATTTAAATTCAGAGTTTAAACCCATCAAAAACTGGTAAGTGTGCTGGCGATCAAGACGGCTGGACACGAGCGGCGGCATCTGCTGGTAACTCAGTCAAGGGCTCATATTGAGCCAATTTCTCCTAACGAGCCTGAAGGTATCCTTTGACACAGAGAGACCTAAAATAGGCTAGGAGGTACGAGCAATGTCTTGATAGAGCTCAAAGATGTGAGCATCATTATGAGCATAGGCATACATCCGAGGCAAGGAATGCCAAAGACTCGAAACAGTGTCGTAATAAAGAAACATGTGGTAAATATGGTCCTCCATGGAGTTGAACATCCATCCTAGAATAGTGCAATTATTTATATCCCATTGGGCACGTGTAGGATCAGTCGCTGCAGGCTGAATAGAAGATGAGAGCCAATGGGCCTTTCCCTTTTCCCTTGAATAGAGTTTAACGGAGCTGCCCCAAGCAGCAAAGTTTTTTCCATTCAACACCACACGTGTAATGCGATGAACAGGAGTGTCATGAAAAAAGAAAAATCAGAAGTCACTGGTACAGGTTTGGTGGGTATATTAGAATCAACATGGGATGGGTTAGTCATGGTAGATTAATAAGCGCTAGAAAACACAAAATCACAACAACACAGTCCAGAAAAATACAAGAAGCCGAAAAAAACTCAATAGCTAGTCCAAATAAATGCTATTGAATAAATCTGATAGTCCACTAAATTAAAAAATGATAAAAAGTGCATAATACATCAGCACCACACCCTAGAGAGGGAAAAAAAAAGGACTGAACTGCCATAGAAGAGTTGCCGAAGCATCTATGGCTAGGAAACACCCTGGTCGGCAGCCAACAAGACCCTCAGCAGCACTAGGGCAACCTGCTGAGGGGTGTAGAGGGTTGGGTAGGTGGTTTCGGGGGGTCTAGGCTGGCTGGGTGGGGCTGGAAGGGTGAAATAAAGGGCTAGAAGGGGACCGTCGGCACTCAAGGAGGAAGGAAGAAGATGAGACGGTGGCTGGGCAAAGAACTAGGGTTTCTGTGCTCTGATTGTGATACCAAAAAGGATGAAAGGAATGATTTGGCTTTCCATGAATGAGGTAGAGGCGCTGTATATATAATAGATTCATGATACAATTTAGGAAACAATATAAACAAGGAAACAATATAAATAAGGCACTAAATCAGTGATCGACAATCACAGATTATATACATAATACTAAAAATAAACTTGAGACAAAAATAATCCTAAAGAGGGCTCCAATCATGAAAGGGCCTCTGAGATACAGGGCTCCAAGCTCATCTCCCTGGAGAAGACAAATAGGCCACCAAGCCCTCAGAATTTGTTATCATAGCAAAGAGATCCTAAAAGGCCTCTCTCAAAGTTCCCTGCCCACACCACACGTCATGCCAAATTGAACCCTACTTCTGTGAGAATATTATGCTAATTATGGAAATATATTAGATTGATTGTGTGAATATTAGATTGATTGTAAGAATATAGGTTTATTCTTATTTCCTTTTTTAGATTAGGTCTACATAACTCGATTGTACTGTTTGTATTGTATACAATTGAATATATAGACTTTTTTCAGAAATCTTACATGCTATTAGAGCCATGCGTGAAATCCTAGCGCCATCGTTGTCGACTTCAGTTCTAGCCTTCTCGATTGAAGTTCTCTTCTGATTCTCTCTGTATTCTTAGAAGTCGTGATTGTATCGGAATCATAGTTCACGACTCACCCATCCGGACCCATCTGGTTCGCAATAAGCACCTCTGTGTTTGACTCGCCTCACGTGATTGAAACTTTGGAATCTCGTGTCTCGCGAGTCTCAACTCTCTTCATCTGTGCATTGACGACTTGGTCTTCTGAATAGTTGCTAAAGTTGTTGATCTGAGCTGTCTCTTTTTGGACTCATGATCCTCGTCTCCATCTGAACATGTGATCGCGAGTCTCAACAACACATATGGGTTCGACTTCTGGAGCACATGTAACATTTCTCTCTCACTTTGGTTCACGTAGACTTTCTCTCTGTCTCTTGCGAAGGTCTCCTTCTCTGTCGAAAGTTTGGTTCTCTCTTGCTGGTATTAAGTTCGTAAAGCCCCTCTCTCAGTGGATCGACCTTTGAGAAATCCATCTCCTTCCCTGACTTCGTTTACTGGTGCTGTATCTCTCTCTCTCTCTGAGTTAGGTTAGACCCACGGGTAATTGACCCATCTGGTACTTTTTTTTTGGATTTATTACATTTAGACCCTTGGTTGCCTATTTTGCTCTATTTTGGGTTTATTACACTTGAACCCCTCAGTTTTTTGGTTATTATGATGTCTCTGGCTTTGGATGAGTGTGTCTTCTGCCATCATAAGGGCCATTGAAAATATCACTGTCCTAAGAAGGGATGTCTATCTGCCTCGCCTTCTCAGCAGTTTCCAATCCAGTTCTGCGCCCCTCCTCTGAGTACTATTCAGCCTCCCGCCAACTTTACTGCATCTGCTCCGACTCTTGATCTTGACTTGGCTTCCTTGAGTGCTTAGATTAGTCAATTTTAGCATATACTGTCTACCTCCTAACCATCCCCATTTGCCTCCATTGTTTTCTCTTCATTTAGGTTTGCTTGGATTTTCTTCAAAATTTTCTTCGTCTGTCTGGATTTTTGACTCTGGTGCCTCTCATCATATGACTTCCCATCTCTCTTTACCTCAAAATTATACTCCCCCCTTTCCTGTTACTGTTAATGCTGCTAATGGGTCTATTATATCTGTTGGGTCTGTCTTATTGTCTGTTATGTCAGCTGTCTCTATTCCATCTGTCCTTTATATTCCTCAATTATCTGTCAGTTTATTATCTATCAGTCAGCTTGATGCCTCTGGTTTTGATGTCATCTTTTCTTCTTCTATTTGTTTTGTGCAGAATCGGATGTCCAAGCAACGAATTAGGACCGGTTATAGAGTTTGAGACCTCTATGTAGTGGAGAGCTTGCATCTGCCTATGGCAACCTCCTCAACTGCCTTTTTCTCTTTTCAGTTAGATTCTCCGTCTAGTCATTTCTACTTGTGACATTCTAGATTAGGGTATTTGTCTGCTGATCACTTATGATCTTTAGCTCAGTCTGGTATATTAGGTAAAGTTTCTCCGAGCAAACTTACTGAATGATGGGGGCGTAAACTTGCCAAAATTACCTTTTATAAAAGTACTTTTATATTTGATATATCATTTTCTTTAGTTCATACTGATGTTTGGGACCCTTCTCCTGTTCTCACCGAAGGGAATTTTGCATACTATGTGTCATTTGTTGATGACTACACCCGTTACACTTAGGTTTATCTTATGACTCATAACTTTGACTTTTACCAGATATACCGTACCTTCCAATCTATGGTCATTACACAATTTGGGTCTACTATTAAATTGTTGTGGTTTGACTTGCACGGGGAATACTTTAAAACTGAATTATGTGAATATTTGACCAATTTAGGTACCATTCACCAAACTTCTTGTACTGATACACCTGCCCAAAATGGTCGAGCTAAACGTAAACACTGTTATCTCCTTGAGACAGCTAGGTCTCTTTTTCTCTCTGCTTCCGTTCGAGCTCTGTTTTGGGGTGAGGCAGTTCTTACTGCTGCTTTTTTTCTCAACTGTATGCCTACCCCCCTTCTTTCTAGTCAGTCTCCTTATAAGGCTTTATTTTCTCAACTTCTTAATTACTCCCTCCTTCGTGTGTTTGGGTCTGCTTGTTTTGTCCTTTTACCTCGTAAAGATAGGATCAAACTTAGTGTCCGGTCTGTTCTGTGTCATTTTGGGTTACAGTCTCACTTAAAAAGGTTATCGTTGTTATGACCTTATTTCCCATTGCCTTTATGTCTCCCGCATGTTGCCTTTCTCGAACGTCTACCTTACTTTCAGCTTCCTCCTCTCACAACCCTAGTTTCCAAAGAAGATTTAGTTCATATTGATCGCTTTCCTTTTGAGGTCTTGTCTGATGAATACATCTCTATTGTTCCTCCTGAGCTTGTTCCATCTTCTCTACCTTCCACCCTTCCTGTTGAGTACCTCTCCATTGACCCCTTAAGGCTATTCCTACTTCTCCTTCTGCTTCACCTCTGGCTACTTCTCCCCTTTCGGCTTCTCCTCCTCATCCTCCATTGTTAGTTTATTCTGGTCGCAAGGCTCTTCTTCCACTAGTTGTCTCTACCCCTGCTGCTGATTCTCCTGCTTTTGACGACCCTAATCTTGCTAACCGTAAGTATCCCCTTCGCATCCGTAAACAGATCGAAAAACTTAGTTTTGCTAAAACATGCCCTTCTTCTTCATATTGTACGCTTTTGTCTGCTATTCATTCTTTTTCAGAACCTCAGTCTTATAAGGAGGCCTGTCAGGATCCTCATTGGATTCAAGTTATGGTGAATGAGTTGTCTGCTTTACAGAAAACTCGTACTTGAGAGTTGGTTCCTTTGCCAATTAGTAACAATCTGATTGGTTGCAAATGAGTCTACAAAGTCAAGACTCATTCTGATGGTTCTCTTGAGCGCTACAAAGCTCGTCTAGTTGCCAAAGGTTTCTACCAGGAGTATAGTATTGATTATGAGGAGACCTTTGCTCCTGTTGCCAAGATGACTACTGTCTGTACTTTAATCTCTGTCGCTGTTGTTCGTTCTTGGCCTCTTTATCAAATGGATGTTAAGAATGCTTTTCTTAATAACCATCTCACTGAGGAGGTTTACATGCGTCCTTTCTTTGGCCTGCACCATTCCTTTGGACAAGTTTATCATCTTCAACGTGCTCTGTATGGTTTGAAACAATCTCCTCGTGCTTAGTATGATCGCTTTTAGGCTGCTGTTAGTGAGCTGGGGTTTCATCCTTTTGCTTCTGACTCTGCTTTGTTTATAAGACATACCTCGACTAGTTTTGTTGATCTCTTACTATATGTGGATGATACGATCATCACTGGCTTTGACTCTTCTACTGTCTTTCAGATCAGAGCAACATCTCTTCCACACCTTTGAAATAAAGGATCTGGGTCCATTACAATATTTTCTTGGTATTAAGGTAGTTTCTTCTCCTAAAAGCTACTTTCTGTCTCAGGCTAAATATGCCAATGAGGTTATTCACCGGGTCGGCCTTACTGACACTAAGATTTCTGATACCCCCATTGAGTTTAATGTGAAGCTTAACACTACTGATGGTATTCCTCTAGATGATCCTATTTTATATCGAGAGCTTGTGGGTTACTTAGTCTATCTAACTGTCACTCGTCCCGATCTTGCCTATGTTGTTCATGCGGTTAGTCAGTTTGTTTCTGTTCCTCATTCTACACATTGGGCTGCTTTCGTTCCAATTCTTCGCTATCTTCGAAGTACTATATTTCAGGGCTTACAGTTGTCCTCCACTTCTTCTTTAAACTTGGCAGTATATGCTGATTCTGATTGGGTTGGTGATGTTACTGAGCGCAAGTTTACTTCTGGTTTCTGCATGTTTCTTGGTGATTCTTTGATTTTTTGGAATAGCAAGAAACAGAATGTTGTTGCACGTTCCATTGCCGAGGCTGAGTCTTAGTTGCATGAAGCGGGGGCGGAGGTGGGAGCAGGGGAGCGTGAGCCGATAGAAGTTTCTTAGGTTGTGAGCGCCTCGGGGAGCGCTTATATATATATATATAAATAAAATTAATTCAAAAATTTAGCAAGTATTTGTTTTTTGGAGTGGCTTTATTTAAATATATTAAAATTATGTTTAGTTTGGTTTGATTTGATTTTTAAAAATAAAAAATATAATTGGTTTGGTTTGATTTGACTTTACTTTTAAAAATATAAAATATGGTTAGTTTAGTTTGATTTAACTTTTAAAAATATTGAAAATTATAAAATTAACATTGAAAAAGTTTTTTCAATTTGTTTTGATGAATATGCATCTTTTATAATTATGAATTAAATATATATAATTAAATTTATTTATTATATGTTATAAAATTATAAAAAAATCATTAAACGGTAGTAAAAAAATACAAAATAACACTATTAAAATTATAAAAAAAATAACATTTAAAAATTGGTTCCTATAATAAAATTAATAAACATATTATTAAAATAAACAAAACTAATCAACAACAAAAAAAAAATTTATAGAGAAAAGAAATTATAAAATGAAATCAGAAAAAAAAAATAAATAGAAGAGAGAGAGAGAGTCACTGACCACATAAAAGAAAGAAAAAAAAAGAAGATAAAAGTTCAACGCAGAGGAGAAGAGAGAGAGAGTGACTGTGAGAGAGAGAGAGAAGGCGACTGAGACAGAGAGAGAAGATCGAAGAAGAAGAAGAAGATCGAAGAAGAAGAAGATTGAAGAAGAAGATCGAAGAAGAGTAGCGAAGTGTACCTTAAATAACAGCCGACGAGCTTGAACGACCATCAAAAACCGACTAGGTCTTCTCTCTTTCTTTTCTGATCTCTCTTTCTCTTCCGTGCTTCATAGCTTCTGAGTTGTTTTATTTCCACCAACGATCTCATCTTGGATAGGATCGCGTTTCTCTCTCTCTACAGAAACACGATTCTTACACGTTTCTTTCTAAGAAATGCAAAATCGCGTTTCTTACAAAGATTCGTCACCTCGTTACACGATTCCTGCAACTAAGGGCTGAGTACTGTGCTATGGCTCATGTCACTGCTGAGATTGTTTGGCTTCGTTGTCTCTTATCTAATTTGGGTGTACCTCAGTCTTCTCCGACCTCTCTTTACTGTAACAATCGCAGTGCTATTCAGACCGCCCATAACACTGTCTTTCATGAGTGAACGAAGCATATTGAGATTGATTGTCATTTTGTTCGTCAACATCTGCATTTTGGTTCCATCTCGCTTCCTTTCGTTTCTGCGGCACTTCAACTTGCTGACTTCTTTACCAAGACTCACACCACTGCTCGTTTTCAATTCCTTCTTAGCAAAGTCTCAGTATTTTCTGCTAAAACACCTTGAGTTTGAACGGGGGTGTGAGAATATTATGCTAAGTATGGAAATATATTAGATTGATTGTATGAATATTAGATTGATTATAAGTGTTAAAACCTATCACCTACTTCACCCACTTAAACCTACTCCACTAAACCTAACCCACTACACCACTACCACCTCACCTACTCCACTAAACCTAACCCACTACACCACTACCACCTCCACTTCACCTACTCCACCTACCACCTACTACCACCTACTCTTCTATATATAGGAATCATTATAACATTCAATATACCAATCAATAATATACATCAATTTTTCTTACAATAAGAATATAGGTTTATTCTTATTTCTTTTCTTAGATTAGGTCTATATAACTCGGTTGTACTCTTTGTATTATATTCAATTGAATATACAGACTTTATTCAGAAATCTTACAACTCCCTCCCCCACCTTAAAGCAACAATGCGAAATGAATTCATCCCTAACCCTCATAATGTTCTTCCAGATCCCCACACCATGAGCTTCTTGGATTCAAGTTGATGACCAATCACCTCAATCGTGTCCATACTTGTTACGGATAACCATTCTCCATAAACTCTCTTTCCCAAGCAAAGCGCCATAAGCATTTCCCCAACAGAGCCTTATTAAATACCTCCAATATTCTAATGACCAAATTCCCCTATCACGAGGCAAACACACCTTCAAATCTACCAAGTGATATTTAAACTTCTTCCCCATGCCTCTCCACCCTCATAAGCTTTTCCAATTTTTAAGCAACTGAGAGAGAGAGAGAGAGATGGAAGGAAATAAGTAGGCAAACTAGATAAGGTGCTTTTGATAAACATAAGCCTGCCACCTTTAGACAAGGGCTTCAAAACTCTAAAAACTTGTCGAAAATTATACAAGTTGCTCTTGTTCAATGTAAGACTGCCCTTTTATGAGTGTACCTTTGTCTTCTATAATCTAATAAACATGAATAAATGTGTCCAACAACATACAAATCCATAAAACTATAGATTTAAGACTCAAATTGATCCTAAATATATATAAAAAAAATGTCCAAGATGTGCTTCATGTGAGGTTCAAATTTGCGGTTTTTCTTCTTCGCATACCCTGCATCATAACATCGCTCTGGAATAGAAATGGAAACTTGAATGAATAAATGTGCCATTGTTTGGTAGAGTGCCAGCACTTCCACTTGCTATTCTAAACAATGACAATGCAAAAGGCCTACTAAAACATAAGTGGTGCCACAGTAGAATCCATGTCAACAAATAAAGCTTTTATTAAGTGCAATTATTCAATTTCAACTGCCCAACATGCTCAATATGGAACTAATATGCAAACCAATCTTCGGATTGCTTCGATTCCAACTCTCCACTTACTAGATTTAAATATCATGACTCAATTATAAATGAACTCCAATAATAGCAGTTTATGTTGCCTTAATTTATATAAGAACGATGTTTATAACATTTCTGAGTAAACCTTGCACCGTGTCACACTGATGAAGGTACACTATTGATTGTGTAAAATTTCCAAAATAAATTTTATTGAAAAAATATACCAATGAAGCGGTGAAAACTAAAGTTGAACATGGGTTGATCCAGATGGCAATGATATATGAATGTGTATAAATTGTTGAAAATATACACCGGGCATGGGACATAGAAACTTGCAATAATCAATATCAAGAAACACAGTAAAAGAGAGATTGCATTGTTTCAGTGGTAATTTACCTGTCAAAGATCTGATAAGCTCATTTGATACATATTCTTGAAGTGTGTGATTTGAAAATAAAAATTTGACGAGCAATGCTGCCTGTCCTGCAACCTCTGAATTAGGAGAGAGAAGAAGTTCCAGAATTACCAATATGCCTCCAGCTTCTGCAACAGCTCGCCTATTTGTTCTGCTGCGCATGACAAAGTTTTGCAATGCACAAATGGCCACCATTTTCATTTCCTCTGTTGGCTGATCTTCAAGCAAGCTTATCAGAGCACGACATGCGGAAACGGAATCACTGGCTCTAGCAAGTCCTTCATGCTGGGAGAGGTCACCAAGAGCAAGAGCTGCAAGAAGCTTGCCAGACTGTGATCTAGTTTGTGGGTCTAACAGATATTGTGCTAAAGGCGATATTGCATACTTGGAAACCTTCATTTCTCGTATCCTCACATTGTTGAATAAAGCTTCAAGTAGCCTTCCAGACTCTTCTTCACACTGGTGAGATCTTAATAGATCTAAAAGAGCATCTACTGCACCTGCTTCTGTCATCACGGCATTCGAAGCATCGGTTGATTCTTGAACAGTCAGGGCATTAAGAGCCACTGTTATAGTACTCTCCTCTGCTGAGTACAACATCTTCACAAGAACAACTAATGGAACTTTGAAATAGTAGTCATCATTTGAACGTAGAACATTGGAGAGAACCAGAGCAGCTGATTCCCACAATGCATGGGGTGGTTGAGGGTCATCTTGAACGACAACCTTTGAAATCTCAAATATACCCCCAGCATCAGCAACTGCCTTTGGCCAGCTTACAGAGATATTTTCCAATGCTTTAATTGCTGTTTGCTGCAAGTTCAATATTCCAATTCCAGCAAGTTGCACAAGAGGCACAACTGCATTTTTGGTTGTTATATCTTGCTTAAAGTGCTCCTGCGCAAGAAGATGACTTAGCAATTCTGTGCCAAGCTGCTGGATAGCTTGAGACGGTGATTCCAGAAATGAAATCAGAGGCTCAATGACCTGGCTAGGAGTAAGTTTTAAAGTTGCCAGGCTCTGTGGTTTCTCCAAAATATTAACAAGTGCTTGCAGGGAACTATGCTGGCCCCAAAGACTAATGTCTGGACGAAACAACACCAGAAAAAGAGGTTCGACAATTTTTGCTGCAGCTGAGGTTTTAGAAATTGCACTACTATTTGTCAAGATGCGGAAGAGTTCAGCAATTGTGCAACATAATGTACTGGGCGCTGTGGGAAGTATCTCAAGACAGCTATCGATAATGCCAGCTTTGACCATATCCAACTTGCGGGGAGTCCGGTCTTTCCCCAACTTAATGAGAGCACAGATGCTAGCCTCTATAAGCCGATTATTTGACCCAGAAACCAAACCAACAAGAAGATCGACGATATCATAAGCTGCTGCAAACTCTACTTGCTGTTCGTCATCCAACAATCTTTCAAAAGCACAAACACCAGATTCCACTGCTGTACCCATATCAGATTGCATTAGTGATAAAAGAGGCTCTATGCATTCAGAGGCAATTGGCATCGCTCTGACTTTTGAATTACCAAAAAGAGCAAAACAAAGCTGTGCAGCATTTGTCTTCAATTCCAAGCAAGCTGTGGAAGACAAAATTTTGTATAGGCTCTCAAGGGGATTCCCTTCCACATCAGTGATCAGAACTGCTTTTGAAGGATTTCCCGAAGTAAACTTAACCAAGGTGGCAAGAGCAGCATGTTGCTCACTTTCTGATGCAGCTTCAAGCATGTCAACCAAGGGCTGAACTGCTTGCTTGGCTAATTCAGAATCCTTAATGTTCTCTGCATTGAAAAGTTCATGAAGAGCCCTAGCAGCACTCAATCTTGCACTTCTTGACCCCAAATGCAGAACAGCTACGAGCTGATTCATGGAACTAATTGATGCCTCATAATGAAGAAGATCAGGATTGCTAAATAATATTCTCAATAGTTCAGATATAGTCGCCTCAGTCAAGTCCTGAGGACTCAACGATAGGTACTTTGTTAAAGCATCTACAGCTCCAGCTTCCGCCATAATTAGTTTGTTTGTATCACTGCCATCTGCAATATGAGTCAAAAGGCGAACAGCAGTTGGAGGGGCACCTGGTCTATCTGGCATTGGTCTCAAAAGATCCACTAACAAAGGGATAGTTTTGCGTGCAGTGGAACCAACTCTCACATCTTCAATTTCAAAGAGGAGTTCCAGAACTACTTGATCCGGATTTTTTACCAGAGAAAATTCTTCAGATAAAGCCACAAGGTTTGGCATATCTGATTCTACATAACCAATTATAGTTATTAACCCTGCAACTGCACCTGAATTTGCAATTGCAAGATTCATTCCCCTGCTTCCATTACAAACAAGACTAGCCATTGCCTGGGCAGCAAAAAACCTGTCAATTACTTCTTCAGATCTCAGCAAAAGTGCAAGCGAGGGAATGATGCGCATTGTTGCAGGAGATGAAACAATATGTGCATCTTGAAACAATATAGCCAGGAGCATGGCACTTATCCATATGCCCTCAGTATCTTCAAATTCTGCCTGTGAATGTAGAAAATTGTTTGGATCAGCTACCAAACATATGCATTTTAAGCAACTCTACACATAAGAATTTTAAACCATCTAACCCTGATCGACAAACTAGCATGCTCCATTATCAGCCGACACTACCCATAAATAAATAAAAAAATGAAAATTTTAAAACAGAAAAAGGTAGGTAACATTCAAAAGTTATGGTGACATCTTGTATTTTGAGCATCTTTACCTATAACATGTTTACAATATTAAAAACGATAATTACTTATTGAAGTCCCAAGTTGAATCCCTTCTCTTACCACTCCCTGCACTCTATGCCTATTCAGTATTTTGTTCTCTGTTTCCGTCAATAACATAAGAAAGGCAAAAATTGAATGCAATAAGTAATACTACTCTATTTTCACTAGCACATATAAAAGTTTTTGTTTTTCATTTGCATAACATGAACCACAAGTGACTAATTTGAGGCAGCATTTCAGTTAAACCCTAAAACATTATGTTCAACACAAATACATCCCTCCCTCTGCAAATCCGCAGCTATAATTTGCAACGAAATCCTAATTCGAAATTGTAGAGAGAATTAAAAAGCTGCAGACAGACAGCAAGATAAAATATCACTACCCTAGAGAGCAAGAGAGAGAGAACAACTTACCAGTTATACTTTTAGTTTTAGACCGTAAACAAACTCACTGCTGACACAAAAGTAAGTTTTACCTCAGTACAGATCATGTTGACTGCACAAAAATTTGTCAACTCATTCTATAAGTGGGAGCTCATTCCAAACAGACTTTAGTTTAGTATGCATCAAACTTAAATCTGTAACTATAGAGTAGCATTTAGATTCACAACATTGCTAACAACAGGTTATTAGTGTCATTCCATTGAAATGTAAGCCACAACAAAGAATGAAAGAAAAAGTGAAACACCCACCTGTGGATTGGATGTATAACTCACAAGCTTATCATAAAGGGCCTCAAGTGCCCCAGCTTCCACTACAGTAAGTTTGTTCTTTGGGTGAAATGAAGAAATTATTGATAGCAACCACAAAGCAACAGTTCCTCCCAAGACAGTGGCTGGATCAGGAACCTCAATCTCTTCCTGAAAAGGATTTCTTTCTGCAAAACCTCTAGGAGTTCTGACTTCAATTTCCAGAGAGCAACAACTAGAATTTCGCTTCATCATATCTACCAATGCATATATCAGGGGTTTCAAATATCCTGACCCAACCAGTGCATCCATTGACTGGACTTTGTGTTCTTTAGCAGCACAGATGAGCAATGCAGCTCCTCCAACTCTCACCTCTAAACTGGTGGAGTTCATTATTCTATTAGCCAGTCCACCAACGGATCTGGGTTTTGCAACCAACATATCGCCTAATACAACTGGTTGATCCCCACAAAGCCTAGACAGAATTTCTATAGCCTTATCCTCCACCAGAGGAGGCCCCTCAGCCAGGCAGCGTACAAGAGGCTCTAAACTTGAGGGAACTTCAGCAAGGGCAGACCATGGAGGATCTGTAAGGTTCACGCTTTGTTTTGTTCTCGCCAATAGTGCAACTACTTCTAAAGCATCAGCAACATCAGTCCCATCCATGTCCATTGCATTTAAGGAATCAGCAATAGAAAGAACAACAAATCGACACTGAGCATTACTCTTGAGTACATCACCAACTGGAAAATGCCTTAGTAATTGGAGAAGGGCACATGATGCATTCTTCTTGCCTTCTGAAGTGCCTTCCCCCAATAGTCTAGTCAAAGCAGAAACAAGATCTTCAGCCAGTGCTTCTGCAGCTATCTGGGGATCAGACAGAAGATTGGCTAATGCTGATACAGCAGTCTCGGCGGCATCAATGGAAGAAGTTTTTGCCAACTTGATCAGAGGCTTGACATCCCCTCCTGCAATGTATGACATTTTGTTGCTAGACTTAGTGTTGGTTTTACGGGATAAAGCACCCAAGGCTCGAGCTGACTGTGCAGCAATAACTTGAGTTTTGCTGGTCAAAAGCTTCATGCAAGGATGGACGACTTCATCAGTTGCAAGTTTGTCACAAATATCTTCTCTGGAGCTAAATAGATCTGCCAGGACAGAAGCTGCATACTCTTGGGTTTCTTCATTTGAGGAATTGAGAACCTGGACAAGTGATCTCAGCCCTTTATTAGCTACAGCTCCCTTATGCACAAGATCGGTTTGTGAAGACATAGTGAGTACATGACCCAAAACTCTAATTATGTGCGCCTTTGAGCTTGGAGAGTCACCCAGGAGCAAAGCTAGCAACTGATTAATGGTAGCAGAATCAGAAGTTCGGATAAGCTTTGTTAGTGCTTTAGCCGAGGCTTCTTGCCCCTTTGGTCCACCGCTTTTTAAAAGCCATAGGAATGCGGGAACAGCTCCAGCACTTTCAACGCAGGCTCGAATATCCTCACTGTGACAGCACAAATTCCACAGAACATGTGCTGCATACTCCCTTGCCTTCTGGGATCCTATCTCTAATAATTGTACCAGAGGAGGAATTCCCCCAGCTGCTGTGATTGCCCACTTAGTGTCATCAACTTGGTTGGTCAGAATTGCTAGTAACTCAACAGCATATTCCTGATGCTGTTCACCGGATAATCCCAGCAATGATATCAGTAACTGAATTCCTTCTCTCTTTCCAATGGCCTCCCAAATATCCACCCCATCACAGCATAAGCTTATTAGAGAAAGTATCAGGTTCTCCTGCACATCAGCAGAAGCCATCGTTACGAGTCCAATAAGCACCTTCTTTGCTTCTTCTTGGTAGAGCGATCTTGAGAGATAGGTGTTGCCATAAAGGCTGGCCATGGCCTCAATGACACGCTCCTGGACCAGCTTATTGTCTCGAGGTTTTAGTAGCATTACTAGGATGTCCTCTATCTGTGTTGCATTAAATGGTTCTTCGTCAACACCAGATTTCTGCTCAAAGACCATCAGAGAATAGGCAAGCGCTCCAATTATATCAGCAACAGGAGCAGTTAATCGTGGGGCCTGGGAAAGTTCCCCAAGATATAGTATTAGAGCAGACATTCCACCACATATGTTTGCTAAAGCTCGTGTTGCATGCCCCTGTAGTGCCTGACCACCCTCCCCTTGCATACCCTCTTTAGAAGGAGCAACTATAGCTCCAATGAGAACCGGCACACCATCTGCATCAACAATAGCTTTCTTGGCCTTGGTTGACTTTGAAGAAAGAGCCTCCAAAGCATCAGCAGCACTGGCACGGACGGAAATATTATTGTTCTGACCCACAAGTTGAAGTAAAGCTTTGACTGCTCCAGAATCTAATACTTGGGAGATGCTATCACTGAATGCTAACATCAAACGGGCCAATAGAGAAGCTGCATTGGACTGAGCGGCAACATTGCCTGAACAAAGCAGACTCACAATAATATCCACTCCTCCAGCCTCAAGGGTTGCTCTCCAGTACACATCTTTATCGCCACAAAGATTTCGCAAAGCCCCAGTGACGAAACCTTCTACAACTTTGTCCTGCTTGTTTTTTGAATTGAGCTGCTCCCACAAGGTTGGTACTACACCTTCTGTAACAAATATTTTCATTCCCACATGATCATCTGAAAGTCCACCGGATGAAACTTCATAAATTGCTTCTGCTGCTGCCTTCCTTGTGTCAGTTGACTCTGACTTCAAAAGTGAGAGTAATGGTGGGATGCATCCACCCAGAAGCACCTTCAACCGTAAATCTTCATCCTTGCACATGGTGCTCAGTGTTGCAGCAATATTTACTTTTGCCGTATGAGTGCCACTCCTAAGAATGGATATGAACAATGGCATTGCTTGAGCATGTGAACCAATAACAGTCCGTGCTTCCTTTCTAGCTCTGGCAATACCTAACAAACGGAATGTAACAAGTTCTTTTTCATGTGGTGAAGACATGTTGGCATGAAGCTGCTCAATAAAACGAGCAACTGTAGCCATTGTTTCCTCTGAATCACACATTTCTGTTGGTCCATTTGAATCCCTGCAAAGCAAACAGTGAATCTACTTGTTAATATTTAGAGTATATTGCCCTCAAGAAAGAATGATCAATTTAAAGGAAAGTGTAGAATTAATGTTTTTGGTTACAACACTAACTGATTATGATGAAATAGTTTATGAGAAATTAGTGGATATCAGAGCATCTGTCTTCTCTTATCTATTTTAAATTTCTAATCTAGTCTATTAATGTATGTACATTCTTTTACTGTTTTTGGTTGAGTCAGTATTTACGACTTTATCTTTGGAGAACAAGTGCAACAGATGGGTAATTCATCTTTAAGTGAGAACAATATAAACTTCACCAAGTTGTTATGCATCAAGCTAAAAGAGAGCAGCACTAACCTACGCCTTGAAGCAGACAAGGATCTGAGCTCCCTTGGTCCAGCAGAGGGAGACTTCGACATTTGCACCAACACTCTACTTTGCGTTCTCCTTTAGTCTTCTGTGCAGTGAGGTAACCAATCAATTCTACCAGATGAACACTAAATTACTACACAAAGATTATAAATAATGGGAAAAAAAACAGCACAAAATTGTTTTCCAATTGAATTTGCAGAAGATCCAAAATCCTAAGTAATATTTATAGACCCAAATTCAAATAAAAACACACAGTTAACAGAATTTACAGAACACAAAACCCAAATCCAAACAAGCTTAATTAATTCCACACAAAAGAAACCCAATTCAGATATGACAAAAACACTAAAATTAGTCACTCACTTCTCTCACTGAGATAGACAAACAAGATGTGCCCCATATATGGAGATCAAATCCAAACAATAACTCATACCTTAGCTGAAAAATACATATGCTGGAGGTGTTCTTTCTTTCAAACTAACCCACATTCCCCTCCTCCAATAAAGAAGCATCACACCTTCCAATTCATCTTCATGGAATCCAATATACATACCACCACCACTACTGTACACCAAATTACATCAATGTTGAACAATAAGTTCGACCCAGTAAGCTTTTCTTACAATTCAAATCAATCAAACAATCGGTATAACATAAAAACAACAACAAAATTAAATAAAAATAAATAAATTCAAATGCGAAGCAGATTACATGCATGTAATGTATACATTTGTATTAAAATTGGCTGTCATTGATGATATTTAAATGTGTAACTATGGAATGTAAACAAAAACAAATAAAGAAGAGTATGGAGATCAGATCAGGAGAAGAATTAACAGAATTTAGGGCTAAAAGAGAGCTAAATTTTTCAGACTGGCATACAAAATTATACCCAACACAATAAACAAAAAGTAGATATGAAAACAAAGAAAATGAAAATGAAAATACCTCGAGATTTCACCAAAAACAAAAAAACACGTAAATGCGAGCTCCGTCAATGGATGGATAAACGGAGGCTCGGAGAGAGAGTGTGTCTGATTAGTCTTTTCCGTTTTGCTTTCTCAGCGTGTGTGTGCATTCTTATCTTTCTCTCTTCCCATTTTGGTTTTTATTATTTTATTTAATTTAGGGGTTGTTTAACATGTTTTAAATAAATGTATTTTTTAACTTTTTATAAAAAAATGTATAGAAAAATAAAGAGAAGATGTTGACTGATATGACTTAAAAAAATAAAAAGATAAAAAATATACACTTATTTAATTTTTCCAAACTTAGCCTTAATGTGTACATATATAGTTTAGCAAAAATTAGTGATTTTTTTTAAATATTTTTTTGGATATAACGTTAGGTGTAACAATTGTTTTGTTGTGATAATGATAAATTATTATTTTGAGAGATTTGTTTGCGTTATCTTGAGAAGTTTAAATAATTTAATAATTTTTTTTTATCAAATCTCTCATATAGTGTGGAATTTATACATATGTAGATTTGTATTAGTTCCACGTTATGTGAGAGATTTAATAAAAATTTTATTAAATTATTTAGGACTCATAGTATTTTTTTATTTTTAAATTTTTTTAATCTAGTGTATCATCTAAAAGGTCATAATTAGTTGTCCACGACAAATGGTGGAATGATATGGAGAGATAGCTTTATGAGGTAGGGAAATAAATGATACGTACCGATGACATGTCAATAGATAAAATAACAAAAAGATGATATATGGATTGATAAGTGATATAAATAATAAATACGTATTGTAGTAATATGATCTTAACAAAAAGATGATATATGGATTGATAAGTGATATAAATAATAAATACGTATAAATAATAAATACGTATTGTAGTAATATGATCTTAAATTATTATGATATTTTTATTAAAAAAATAGAATTTTCTATCATTCAAAAAGTTTTAAAATTAGACTTATGCCCTGAGTTGTTTAATTATATTTATTAATAAATTTAAAAAAATCATTTATTTTTATAACAGTAAAATATATAATAATATTTTAACTAGTAATTTTAACCGTTTGTATCCATAGAATATTTGTTTGATTTTATTTTTCCCCAAGTGTAGGAGGGAAGAAGCCAGTGACGAAGGGAGCTTTATTTGCAATTGTTTTTCTCGCTTCACATTATTATTTTGTTTTGGTCTTTTTTTTTGACAATTAGGTTAAAAATCAGTTAGATTTGGTTTAACCCAAGAAAAGTGGAGATAATGTGGGTGTTGTGCAGGAGGCATATCATTATTGTGTCATTTCAGTTTATTTTGAGATTTTGTTTTGATAATTCAAACGGTTAACCTTTTAGGATACATTATATAAAAAATTAAATTCATCAAATATCATTAATCATTTCATAAAATTATATTTGTTTTTATAAAAATAAATAAGAAATTTAATTTAAAGTATAATACTAAATACAAATATGATTCGATAAAAGTATTGTTAATATCCGATTAATTTGATTTTGTTAATATCCGATTAACTTAATTTTATAAAAATATATTTTTAAAAAATAAACAATTAAAATTATTAAAATAAATTTTGGGTTGGTTTGGAAAATGGGTTGGCTTTTTGACTTTTTTAACCTTGGTTAAAAAGCTTGATTTAGGAATATTTTTTGATTTTTTTGACTTTTTTTTATGAAAAAATAATATAATAATTATGAATTGAATGTGATGTTTTACTTATTGTAATTAAAATAATCTATTTTATTTTTTTTTGTAACTATTATAATCACAAATTATCTTGTCAAACGAACCAATTAAAATAGACCCAAATAATGGCACAATAGCCCCACCATCCATCTCCAATAAAAGTAAGGAAGGAGAAGATGTGGGCTCCAGCTCAGCTGCACGTGCTAGAGGAACATCTTCCACGATAAACACACTCCTAATGCCTACTCACTGTATAATTATTAGGGTAAATTACAATGACACCATTGAAGTTTATATTTATTATAGTTTTTTTTTTATTTTTTAGAAATTATATCCCTTTCTTAAGATTTAAAGTTTCATTACTGACTTGATTAAAGTAAAAATATAATAAAATAATAAATTTAACATATTAAGTGAAGTTCTTTTTTTATTATATATTTTTATAAATGTCAAAAATATATATATTAATTTTCACCTAAACAGTCAAAAAAAATTAGCCTACCAATTTTTAAAAGTTTTAGTGGATATGCTCTAGTCAGCGTTTTGTGTGGGTTTCATAAACACAAACTGATATGAGCATTTGGTAATAAAAAACGGTAGTGTTACGTATATATCAATTAGTGAATTAGTTAGTATTGTGATATTATTATTGACTATATTTATTATACAAGTTATAAATATCTAAAATTATATAAATGATGTCACATTGGGTTGGTTTGGAAAGTGGGTTGACTTTTCGACTTTTTGGATTTTTTAGCCTGGACTAAAAAGCTTGGTTTGGGAATGATTTTTTAATTTTTTGACATTTTTTATGAGAAAATAATATAATGATTATGAATTAAATATGATATTTTATTTATTGTAACTAAAATAATCTATTTTATTTTTTTGTAACTATTATAATCACAAATTATCTTGCCAAACGAACCAATTAAAATAGACCCAAATAATGGCACAATAGCCCCACCATCCATCTCCAATAAAAGTAAGGAAGGAGAAGATGTGGGCTCCAGCTCAGCTGCACGTGCTAGAGGAACATCTTCCACGATAAACACACTCCTAATGCCTACTCACTGTACAATTCATTATACATAAAATTAAATTAACAGAAATTTAGTGTAATTTTTCAAATGTGAGGAGGTGAACTGTAATAAATATAAATCTTGGAGTGTCAATATAGTTTACCTAATTTAATTATTATTTCTACATTTTATTTTGGTAGGGCCTTGTTTAAAAACAAAAAACAAAAATTTCATCACTGTCAAATTTTTTATTGCCATTGTCAATATGTTGAAGCATCTTATCAAAATGTCTGTTTTAGATCAAGTTGCAGATTTTGCGATATTTATCTCTTGGAATGTCGTCAACACAATTATTTTAATTTATATATTAAGTTATGATAGCCTTGTTTGATAGAGCTGTGGGGAAGTACTTATAGCTTATGCCTAAACAGCTTATAACTTATAACTTTCAGCTTAAGCTGATTTCCAACTTATTCTTAAAGCATCTCCTGCTCCACTCAAAGAATAAGCTGATTTCTGACTTCCACAAAGCTATAAGCTATAAGCTAAACCAAACACATCAAAATAGCTTAAATTAAGCTGAAAGCTGAAATAAGCTGAAAAAAAGCTGTACCAAACAGGGCCGATATCTAATAAAAAAAATTATATAATTTTTTTTTATATACAAAATGATAGATAGGTTTGCATCAGTTTATTTTAAATTAAATAACTTATTATTTTGAAAACACTATTCGATTAAATTTTTTTGTATAAAATTTCTAATTGTAAATAATTTTTCTTACATTAGATTTTTGGTGAGTGCTTGGACAACACATGTTCTGTAACGTCCTATATAATTTATTCAGATCATATTTTGATGATTGAAGTTGTTCATATTATGAGATTCATTGAATATATCATTTATATAAAAAAATGAATTTAATCGGATAAGTATAATTCCATGATCATGCCGATTAATAACCTTAGAAATTATTAAAATCAGCTAACCATTTAATTTTTCTAAACATAAACGTGGTTATGTTGTGGGTTATAAATGTCTAATAAACTTGAATTTTTTCATGGATGATCCTGTCAAGAAACCCTACATTATGAACGGTTCGGATTATTAAAATAAATTTGAAACATGCCTTAAAAAACTCACAATACAGTGCTATTCCTATCAAGGATAGCACACACCCCAAATCCATCACTTAGGCCCTTTTTTTCCCTTCAAAATGTTTTCCAAATTTTTTGGTATAATGAAAAAATAAAATTTAATAAAAAATATTTTTCATAATCATGAAAATCAATTTATTTGAATGAAAAATATTTTGTACTTTTAAAAAACGTTGTTTGAATTAGAGTCTAAAATGTGACCATCTCCATTCCACCACTATTACTCAACAGCTGCCTCTACCTTTGCCATTGTCACAATGATCATCACCGCTATCACAACCAGTACTTCTGTCACTATCGTTACCACCACTAATATAATTATTAATATGATAATATATCCGTCACTATCGTTACCATCACTAATATAACTATTAATATGATAATATATAATTTAAACCATATAATTTAATATATATATTTTAAAATTATTTTTCATAAACCAAAACAAAGGGAGCATTATATAATCAACCCACCAAACCAACTGTGCATCACTTTCATTAGATAACACATAAAATTTAATGGAAATGACCATACAGAGAGATATGATTTTGAAATTGCACATTAGTGGGACATTGAATGATTATTTGTATTTTTATAATGGTGTAAATGTATTGTGTGCATGATATAAATTCTGAATATACATGGTGTAAGTTTTCACTGTGTGTCACAGTTGCACGACAAAAATTTCCATCTACAGTGTAATAAATTTTTTTACTGTTTCACTTATTTGTAATTTATCTTTGCATAAAATTACGTATATTAATTTATATATTATCGATACACTAATTAATATTCTAGTTACGTATACCATCCACGTCTAGTTACGTATACCATCCACGGTTTATCCTTTGATTTTTCTCTATGTGACACAACCTGATTTGTTTGGAGAGCAATGTTTCAAGCATTTATTACCAAACACTCCTCTGACCCCACCACGTGAATATGGAAACTGTTTGGTATGATGATGAATAAATTGTTTTGACAACAATGATTCATCCCATTAAAAATATCACCACTAATAGCATTAATGTATTAAAAAAGTAAAAAAAAAAAAAATACAAATCCAAGATCAAAACATCACATCATTAATGGCGGGACCTACTACCATCTAATTAGTGGGAGCACTAATTAGTGCTCCCAAGCATTTTTCTTGTTTTGAATATATGCAGACATAGGAGATTTTGTCCCTTGTTGCGACACTATAGTAATTGTTCTGGGATTTTTCTATGAGACTTGAAGATATGTACCATA